AAATATATGTAAATAATTTATCGGCACCTCCGCATGTCCACACGGGTATGAGTGAGCTCCCCACGTGTTAGAGCCTGGCAAGCTACACGTGGATATTCATATGCCAAAAAAAGTGATAAAAATGGGGCCTCATTCCCCTGAAGCTGAGGGGGTCCCCGATACGGCAGCGTTGGGGACCAATACTGCTCGGCAGAGGCTGCTAAACTCCTAGGGCCAAAACAGGCTGCCTAGACGGAGAAGGACTAATTGTGATTCTAAAGGAATCCTTGACCATAAGCTAATATTTCTGTAGGGTGGTTCGTTTCGCCTCGAGGCTCTTCAGTAAGGAGGAACAGTAGGAACCAAGGAGTATGTAAGGAATCAACGTGGTTAATTACTGTCTACAACAATAATTAAGCGTAATGGTTAATAAAGTAGGATGGTAAAGTAGAGGAACAAGAATTTTAAAGAATGGTAAATTAAAGGAACATGAATTTGAAAGAAAGTGGTGTGAAAAATGTAGATAAGAAGAGTCCTAATTTCTCTACGAATAGGGTATTCATTTGAGTAGAAGAAATATACTGTACATGGAATCGGTCCTATAATCACTGAAGCGTGCTAACTGCCAAGGAGGTAATACAATGACCACATACGAAGTGATTATTTAAGGAAGAGAAGAGGGGATGGTAGCTGATTCATACAAAGTCGTTAATAGATTGACCTAAGTATCTTCACATTCTGATGAAAATAAGTCATTAACTAACTTTTTAAGTTCTGTAATTCTTGTCCCCAAGCCGTATTTATAGCTGATGAATTTGTTTCTATAAATGCATTTTACAGTATTGACTATTACAAACGTTTCTTTATATCCATTTTGGACCAACAGTTCTCTCATTTCTCTGACTTTAATGGTAAAATTATGCATTGAAGTACACGTATTAGCTATACTAAGAGTCTCAGTATATATAACTGACGCTTTGTTCTGTACTGTAATGTTGGTATTTTCATGTGGGAATCTGATAATCCTGAAGTAAAGTCATCAGTTTTGTTAGAGTAGTAACAATTTTAATATTAATTATACCAATATCGAGATCAAGATAGGAACTTCTTTTATCCGATATGTGTTTTTTTTGATTTCCAACGAGTCTCCATAAGCTATATTTAACTCTTCCTCTGACTTGTACTTTTCCATGTTATGAATAATCAGTAAATCATCCATGTACCTATATGGAACAAATATTCTATTACAATATAGCTTATTTCTTTTGGCGTTTTTGTATTCTGATATAGAAAGCGTAAGATCTGCCAACAGTGGGCTGAAGTTTCCTCCCTAAGGAACTCCGTTTTGTTGTTTAAATACAGTGTCTCCAAATATGCAATAGCTATTCTTTAACAAATAATCTACCAAATATAAAAGATCTTGGATAGAGTAGAGCCTATAGATACTATTTATATTATCACCTGCTGTGTAATAAACTTTATATCCATTGGTGGATATCATAGTTTTATTAGCATTACTGAAACACAAATTTAATAATTCCTCAATGTTGCTGAATATAAGGTTGTGGTAAAGGTTAGTGAACATGTCTGCAAAGTCTGCTGTGTATATTTTCAATTCGTTACCTTTTATATTACTTAACTCGACTAATATTAATATTGTTAATAGCCCAATAGATTTTTATAGTTTTTTCACGTTCATTAACTTTAGTTATGTAATTAATGAAATGGTTCCTAAGGAAAGTAAAAATGTTGTGTAGTTCTACTGCCAATGGTTTAAGATTACAATGTTCAGCACCTGTTATGAACCTGAACTTAATGGGGTGCATGCATATACATATACACGGAAGTGTACCTCCTTCCTGATTCCTAGTTTATTATTGAGACATACAGTATTTAGTTTACCCATAAGTTGTTCTTTATTGGTGTTTCGCATGTGAACATATACATTGATAGCATTACCATACTCCCATACTTAATTATTTGCATTATAGATAACACCCATTTCTCTAAGTAAAGTAGTAAGGTACAACTTTTCACATACCAGTTGCTTACGCACGCATGCTAACGCGTGCACCTTATACTCACTATCGCTTACCTACGATTTATTAGAGTACCAACAATAGTGTCGGTTGACTTCCCATTTCATAACTGTTTCCTCAACGCGCTCACGTGATATTTACATCTACATCGTGCCTACGTGACTTTCGGAAGGACAAACAGACATACAGACATACAGACAAACGGACGTTTGCGGTTTATATATAGTAGGATGATACCGTAATTGTTACCAGATTTGTCTAACGGACAAAAGATGAATATATTTTGATATTTTTTGATGAGGTCTCTAGGCAATTTTTCTTTTGTTCCGATAACATTATTCTTAAACAGGAGTGGCTTAATTTTTGTATAACAGCAGGCCTAGAAATATTGTTCAAGTTTTTCAACTATATTTCCTCCACTGTTCAACTTATATTTCTTAATGTAAAAATCTATGACTTCATTAGTGGTCTGTTCGTATAGCTTCTCGATATTTATTCCACTAATACCCTCATCTATCCTATATTTAGTACCTTGAGATATAATATCTCTGAAGCCAATTCCTTTAATTAAGCTTAAGCCTCCTGTGACTGTGTGCTCCAACTCTTTACCAACACATTTTTCATTATCTTTACCCTTACAGATACAAACATTGTCCAGAATTTCATTGAAATTATTAGAATTAATTTCTTATAAAGCTACTATAGTTAAAGATTGAGCTGGAAACCGGTTTATTATATCTGTGTGTTATACGAATTGGCATTTTTTCTCTATTGTCTGAACATTTTTTGGCAAGGTAGTATTTAACACAGCACACAATTATATATAATATTTTTCCCCAAGGGATTTTGCTTATATTTTGAGTTTCCGCCGTTATCGTTGAATTGTGAGATTTAGCCTTTGTTTTTTCCTTCTTAACCATTTCGCTATCCATATTATAGTGGAGATGCGCTAAGATGGTAAAAACCTTTGAGTAGTCTATAATAATCTATAGAGATACTTCCTTCTTCCGTGAAAGTTTTAAGAATTCTATCCACTTCTCCCTCTTTTCTTATCTTCTGGCGCTTTTTATTACTCCTGTTTTTCTAAGCTTGGTAATTTTGAAAGGAAAAATATTAGGTTTCGATTCAAATATATTAGATGTATGTGTATCGCTTATATTGCCGTACCCTTTAATATTATCATTAAGTCTAAAGGGGTATGAAGTTGTGAGGAGTTTAATCCAGAACAGTTCCTTATCCAAAAGTATGGACTTGTCGTTCCCATGAAGTGAATCTAAAATAATTACCTCGAATCCTTCTTGACACTCTAAGAAATGCTCATACAATAGAGTCTTCCTCTTGTGACTATTAATACAATATAAATGTTCTCCTACTCTTTATTTAAGTTTTCTAGCGGTCATTTCTACGCATCGTATTCCACGTCGTACACCTGTTAGACAATAGATAACGTTTCTATTGGGTTGTCCGAAAAGTCTCCGCCGATTTTTGACACCTTGGATTTATCAACCGTTGTACAAAACATCAAGGATCCAACTTAATAAAGTTATATGTTTTCTGAAAGAGTAGGTCCTCCTCTATATTCCTGTTGGGATTCTGTCAACATTCGTCGAAGTTTTTCTGTACAGGATTCGAATGAAAATGGAGAACCACTGCGCGCATTTTCGACATCTGAAGTATTTCTTCTACCGCAAGACCTAAAATGCGGCTCAAGCTGCATGAAAGATATATGACGTTTGAGTAGACCATGCCCTAGAAGAAAGTACAGCGCATGACTAGTTGGCGAAATCCAAACAGTGAATTTGCGTTCGAAGACCGGCAACCCTCAGGGAGACTATCATAAGTTTAAACGACCAACTCAAAATGTTAACCGAAGCGAATCGGCACATCACTGCTCGTGGAGTAGGACAAGGGCTTAGTGTTTCGAAATTAACCATCCATGGACATCTGCAGACGCTTGGTTTTGTAAAGCGCGCCCTGAAGTTTAGATATCTCGCGAAAGGAGCGAGCGCAATGCGATGGACCGCGCCTCCATGTGCGACTCGTTGCTCAAACGAAATGAAAATGAGCTGTTTCTGAAACACATGAGCATGGAGGACGAAAATTGGATTGTGTACAGCAACGAGGAGCGGAAACGATCGTGGAGCTCCCTGGTGAGCCGTCACAAACCGCTGCAAAAGTCAAAATCCAGGTGCGGAAGTCTATGCCGAGTTGCTGATGGGATTCCAGGGAAAACACTTACCATGAGCTGTTGTCGCATAATCGAATGATGACTTCGAAAAGGTACTATAGTTGCTGGAAAATATGGAGGCAGCGATAGAACAAAAGCGACCCGAAGTTGGCCAATTGTAAGGGCGTAATCTTCCAACAGGGTACCTCCAGACCACACGCATTTTTGGCCACTCGTCAAAAGATGCTAAAGCTTGGGTGGGATGTCTTACCACACCCCCATATAGTCCAGACATAGCACCATCAGAATACCACTTGTTTGGGTTTCTGCAAAATTCTTTGAATGGAAAATCGTTCAATTCGCTGGAGGACTGCAAAAAGCACCCCCATAGGAAGATGGCGACTGCTCACTAAACAGAACGAAGGATATAGTGTTCAATCAATGGATTGCTTCTTCTAGGAATTTTCATTCAAAGATGAATCAAAAATCGGGGGGAACTTTTCGGACAACCCAATAGTTTCACAATTTGTTTCTTTATTTTTATATGTGTTGATGCGTAACCCTGTAACTTTAGCGTGGGTATAATTGTTGGTGTCAGTAATGCTGCATATTCTACAATATCTTTGACAATTAGCACTCTTTTCTGTGTTACCGAAGTTTTGTGAATAATAGCAATTGGCCTCTAGTCTTACCACTGAGAATTTATTGTTAAGGTAATAAGCTCGATTTCCATTGTTTTCGGACCGTTTATCTAAGATGCGATCTGCACTTTCAATGCACGAACCTATGCATCGGAAGCGTGCATCGAAGATCTGATGATGCAAGCCAGGAAGATCACGTACGACGTCAGCGGATTGACCGAGACGAGAATGCACCGCCCGTTGCCTGCCACTTTTGAGACTGGAGAAGAACTGTTCCTTGAAACATGCGAAAGTAGAGGCGTCGGCGGTGAAGGTGCCCTCGTCAACACGCACTTGGCCATGAACATCGATTCGTACGAAAGCCTGACAACCCAAATCGACGTTTGCGATTGAGAAGATATGGCTCAACCCCAGCTCTAACAATCGTCGTTGTTTACGCACCAACATCGACCTACGATGAAGAAGAGCTGGAGGTCTTCTATATAGATCTGGAGAGGCTTTACAGAGCAGACCTTACCTTGTCCAAGGTCATCGTCGATGATTTCAATGCCAAGACTGACCTGAGAAGAATGGCTGAAGAGCTCCACATCGGGATCACGGATTGGAATAGAATGAGCAGGGTGAAACGCTGTCCGAGTGTATCATGGCGACCCACGCCATCCATGGTAACTCGCAATTCCAGAAGTCATCTCATTTGTGATGGACCTGGGAGTCACCTGGTGGACAGTTCCATAATGGAATACACCACATCATCGTCAATCGAAGGATTTGCCTGACTGACGCCGCTGTTGTTCCGAAGTTTTACACTGGATCAGACCACCGTCTTCTCCGCGCCAGATTCCGCTTTCCAGTGCGTGGAGAGAGAGCTGTGAAGTTCAGGAAACGGAGCCCTAAGATTGTGTCAACTGGGATCACTTCGCTTCATTGGTGAGTTTGTGGGAAGATTCCGTCAGCGACGACATCGATGAAGAATACAACCGGCTCGTCAGACATTTTCACCATCGCGCCAGGGGAGCTGAAAGTCTCAAAGATGTCAAGAAACTTCTCTTTTCGAAAACTCTTGAGCAGATACGCCAGCGTGGAATCGCGAAGCTGTAGGCAATAACCAGCTAACGTCCGAACTTGCGAAGCTATGAGAGAAGCAATAAAGGAAGATCTAAGGAGAGAAGAGCGGCAGTTTTGACTGAAGCCGCCAAAGCTGAGAAGGAGATTTGCAAAGCCCGCCGAAGCTTCGTCAATTAGAAGACCAAGATGATTTCCCTTCGTCGTCTTGACGGAACAACTACTGCATCTCGAAGGGCAATGGAGGTCATCTACGACTTTTGCTCTGATCTTTTCGAAGCCACGTCTACCTGCATACCTACCATGTTAGGCAAGACGAATATATCGCTCCTTTGGTTCTCCCTTCCGAAATTCGACATACCATCAAGTCGATGAGGAACGGTACGGCACCCGGTCCCGACAGGATCAAAGCAGACCACCTAAAGAGCCTTCCGCCAGTCATTCTCGCAACCCTGGCTCGTCTTGTCACGCGGCATCTGTCGGAATGCGAAGTGCCCACTTCGTGGAAACCTAACAAGACCGTGTTGCTGTATAAGAAGGGAGATCCGGACGACACTGGCAATTGTCGCCCGATTTGCGTGCTGTCTGTACTCTATAAACTCTTCACGAGCCTGTAACGAGCCATACTTAACAAGATTGGCAGAATATTAGATGGAGGACAGCTATGCGAGCAAGCAGGGTTTCAGAGAGGGTTCGGCACAACCGATCACATCATCACCGTTACAATACTCACTGAAGTATCGCGGGAGTACAAAAAGCCTTTATGTCTTACGTTCATCTATTTGAAGAAAGCCTTTGATACCGTCGAAACAGAAGCGGTAATTGAAGCCCTGGGCAACCAGGGTGCTTTTACTCAATGTGTAATGATGCTTTGTGAGCTCTACAACAATTTCACGACCAGGATCTCGCCATTCTATAAAGAAGTCATCATCAACGTGAAGAGAGGAGTTTGACAAGGCGATAACATTTCGCCCAAACTTTTCAGCGCCGCTCTCAAGAAAGTCATGCGTCATGGTAATGGAATGGAATGGGAAAGCGTGGGAGTGAAGGTCGACGGCCGCTACTTGCATCATCTCCGCTTTGCAGGTGACATCGTGCTTATTACACCCAACATCGAGCGGGCGGAACAAATGCTGGCCGAATTCGACAATGCTTGTGGAAAGATCGGATTACGACTGAACCTAACGAAGACGATGTTCATGCGAAACGTATTGATACCTGATGCTCCTTTCACGGTGAACGGAACGAGTCGAGAAGTCAACATGATCAACGACCTAGCTCCGGAACTGAGCAGAGGAAGGACGATGCTCGGAATTTCCCTATTCACGCGAGTGCAGAAGGGAATCTAGAGTCCCGAGCTTCGTCGACAAACAAAGATCAAGGGTGCATTACGCCAAGAGATCGAAGATCGGGTGGCTATGCGATATAGTGATGACCGTTGGACCACAGGCGTTTACGGGCTGGATCCCTCGGGACGTCAAGCGAGCACTAGGACGGTCGCCAACGACATGGTCAGACCTCTTCACGAAAGCTCTGAACGAAAGAAATGTTTCACCTCGTGTCTCTCGAGCGAGTACGATTCACTGGACTACTCTGGCTCGCGACAGGGACGAAAGGAGACGTTACTGACGCGCTCGATGAAATGGAGGAATAACGAGAGTACAGGTGATACAGGTAATATACAGGGTGCGCCATAAATATGGTAACAAATTTCCAGACGTCCGAAATTTTTTTGTTTGGAGGTTTGTTCCAAATTTGCACCTTCCCTTATGTTTATGATATACTTTACACTACATATCTACTTTGGTGCTCTCAATTCGTCAGATTTCGAAAAACGGTGGAGCCTCGCAGACATCCACCGGTCTTACCGTCTTTGCGTGCATATGGTGAGTCCCTTTCTGGAATCGCCCCACAACATTTCCCTCAACATTTCCCCCCTCAACATTCAACATTTCCCACATGACAGTCTATTGAATCGCGTTGCGTGAGAAGGTTAGCGACAAACCTCAATACGGTCGTCTTGTCTCACATACGACCCCTTTTCCGAATACTACTGTTTGGGAAGGAGTACGTTGCGGAACCTGCTGAAATACGAGAAAAATGACTGCTGATTTGTTTGTATGTTTTACTCCCATAAGAAAAGTCTACCCCTAGTAAATGCAATTGTAGATAAGATTGTAGATTCAGGTAAGATTCGAAAGCCCTACAAGCTCCTTGACGAGAAGAACTTGGAGAGAAAAAACAATACCGTGCGGTACTTGCCGCACGCGCTTCGACAAACTTTTTTTTGACTAAAGGATGTTCAGCATGGAAGAAATGTTGAGACGCCAACGTATACATATATTTCACACTTCGAGTGCTGAAACCGATGAGAAGAGCCAGATGGCCTCTCGTAGCTGTTTTCCCTCTTTCATAATGGTTTTTGCTGGAAACTCTACCATCGCAGCAAAATCGCAAATTTTGGTCACAAAAAGTACAAAATTTAAACCGAAACTCTTTAAGTAGGGTCATTTTGAAACGATGCAGTTGGGAGTCAAAGATCTCTCTAGTTATACGACTTAAAAACTACGGCGCATCTGCTCACGAATGGGAAATGATAAGAGTGGTGCGAGGAGATGTTCGCGCCTTTATCACAGCTTCCAATCCTCCTAAGAGTTCCCCGGATCACAATGTGATGGGTTGCTGGATATGGTCCATACTGGAGAGGAATGCTTGCGTCCCATAACGCACCACTGTTGCTGCTCATAAGGAACCATCGAAAAAATCCCAGGCCGGAAAATTTCTCTAGAAACTCTGCGGGCCGCCGTCGATGAGTAGCCGCAGCATATTTGGACTATAATTAGTACAGGAGACGGTTACATAAGATTGAAGGCACCGTTCACAAAAAAGTAAGGGGACTTTTTTGACGGGAATTGATAGAACTACCCTAGAATAAAGCGATAACAACGAAAAAAGCGCAAAAAACGATGAACAAAAAGAATTACAAAGGGTCAAAAAAGAGCTGGAAAGGGGGGTTGGGCGAGTTTCACATTAAAAGAACGGCGATTAGGGATGTTCGGGCGAGTGCGCGAAGGAGACGCAATGTGTTGTCTGCAATAGCAGACAACACATTGCGTCTCTGGCTATTTGCCAACCAGCCTATCGACTTTTCACCAACTTCGCTCCAATGCGAATGTGGTGAAGGGCAATTAGAACTCGTAGTCAGCCTAGCAAGGGGCGGAGGCTCCCGTCCCCCACTGTTCCTGCCCTTATTGTGCCCTATCCAGCCGTTTTCCGACCTCATTCCTGCACAAATGGTATCAGAGGGGGCTTCGACTTCAAATCATGTGCAAATCTCCGAAACCACTTTTTCGTGAACAGTGCCTTCAAGCGTTGTTTTGTAGATGTGGTGCATAGTAAAAAAAACCTACACGAATTCACCATGTATCAATATGCACTGCGGTTTTTGCACCCCAATTCTTTTGTTACCATATTTATGGCGCACCCTGTATATACATATATAAAAGCATATATATATATATATATAAGTCAGCGCTTTATATATAGAGAGGATGGTGCTGGTGCAACTTAATGCGTAAAAGCGAATTCAACTGCGACCCCAGACGGACGGATAAGGGGGACTGAAGCAATGAGGGCCGCCATCATTCCAGTTCCTCGACAGCTACCTAACCACATCCTTGAACGCGAAGCGGCAAGCCGGTCAATATAAACCCCGTATGGCTGGAAATTACCGGGACTTTGCACTAGAACACAAGACAAAAATATTACACCTTCGAAAGCGGTTTTTTCATAAATGAAGAGGTTAAAGCGAACACGCCCACACGCCACACGTTTCGGTCTCCCACCGCATTGAGGTGGTAGGCCCCTGGGGGCCTCTGATGTTGAAGGTTGGTAAATGATCCCATATTGCAAGTATGAGCGAGTGACCGCTCTTCCCATATATTGCCTCAAAACTACGAATTCTCCCCTTTGTCGCTGCCACTGATCATTACAGTTCATCCACAAACCCGTTGAACTTTCCCTGCAGTTTGACTTCAGTTCCAGGAGGAATAGAATCACGAATGACTTTTGACTCATCCATTATACTCCTCAAATTCGGCTCGGCAGCAACTGTCGACCGCTGTTGGATGCCACATTTCTCAAACAGGATTTTCGTCTTATCGTCGTCGTCGTCGAACAGGTCCGGAATTATTCCGTGTTGCGAGCAACGGTGAAGAAAGTGGATGACCTCTCTAGCTACTACGACTTCTTGTTTAATAAACAGGATTTCCATGACGACAATAGTCAGCAGGTACATGCAAGTTGTGCCCGAGTGCGACTATCTACGAATCTCGGGTGCTACTCAAGCTGCTAGTTTTACTTTTTAGCTGCCCAGACCGAAACTTTAGTAATACTTTATTCGGATTTCTTTTCGGCGCTTCCTCCTCATTCGGAGCCTGCTTTTGGAGCGTAGATCGATTTCGAACTCTCGGTACATGAACGATCAATTTACTGTGTGCTCCACCCAGACAAAGTTGGACAGCTTCAAGGGCGAGAGACTAGGGTGCGGGTTTTGCGGGGGACCGAATTTTTGCATTATGTAGATTTTTTCTTAAGGACTAGAAAATACTCTCATGATGATTTTATCACCTTCTATGAACTTTTGATGTCTTTGCTTACCTTCTCCTACCTATCTACCTCTTACCGAGTCGGGGATTCTTCCGTGCGCAAAATTTGGAGGTCCGGACGAGAAAAACGCATATGATGAGCAATGGCGATGTTAGAGTGGGTGCGATTGTGCGTAGCAGCTCTGGATTCACCAACACCGATACTGTTGATAGTGGACTCGTGGACATAGTTCCGAGACCATGAAGCTATTCAGTCCGCCTTACTTCCACAAAAGCAGGTGAAGGTAATGAACATACCTGCTCGTATCACGAGGCTAATATAGCCGCTAGATGTTCATTTCTTCTTCCCCTTTGAAAAGTCTTGCATCAATTCATAAGTAATGGCTCATGATATCAACTTTTGTGTGTACACTGGAGACTCAATTCTTCGCTTACTTTCGTTTGTCTACTTCCAGTTCTGCGCAGTTAAATTTAGGAAATTCCTCTCTTATTTCGCTCTCAGATACTTAAGCATTCATCCGGGTGATTTTGAGACGCCCACACCCACACAAGTCTGTTTTACTTCTGATATTGTGAAACAATGGGCTGCGATGAGTTCTTTTTTATCCGTTGCTCCCACTGTGAAAAGCTTCTTTGTTCCAAGCATCTCATGCTTGAGTATCGTATTTGTTCATAAAAAGGCAAAAGTTATCCTACTGGGAACATAGAGTGCATGGGATCTGAGATGGGAGAAAATGGAGTTGAACAATTCGAATAGACAAACGTCAGAAAACGTTTACTGTTTTCACTAAACTTCTGAAGCGATAATACGACTGGAAGAC